ATACGTGGATATAGATATATATTATCAAACCTGTGGTGATTGCATGCTTATCAAAAAGAGGTACATATGTGATGATTATATATTCTTTCCATACTGCCATTCTATTTTCTTGGCTAAATCTCAGATGAAAACCAAAGCTTCCTTTTTCTTTTTGATTGCAATAGCAATATAGAACTCATGGAAGGTATTAAACAAAAGTGATGCACCAGTGGCCCAACTGTCCCATTTCCCACCATAGCATTTCTGTCTTATTTCCATGCCTATTGGGGAGAACTCCTACTGCTGTGCAAATCCTTCTCTGTCTACATTCAACTGGGTTTCTTAGTTTCATGACATCTACTCTCTGGGCTAACTTTATATTTAATTGAATATTTTAATACAATTTCTATGTGTGTTAAATCTGCAGATAATAATAAACACTATTTGTGATGGGTAGATTTCTGAATCATTCAGTGTTTACTTAGCACATATAGCAATAGCGCTTAGACTTATATACTGCTTCACAGTGCTTTACAGTGCTTTACAGCCCTCTCTAAGCGGTTTACAGACTCACCATATTGCCCCCAACAATCTGGATCCTCATTTTACCGACCTCGGAAGCTGAGTCAACCTTGAGCTGGTGAGACCCGAACTGCAAACTGCTGGCAGCTTTCAGTAGAAGTAGCCTGTATTCTAACGACTCCGCCATCACGGCTCTTACAGTTACAAACATATACAGTCCCTATTACTTTTTCTACTGAATACTGTATATTTAAATCAGAAGCCAAAAATCGAATTGATTGAAGAATCTTTCTAAGGTCAAGGGTGATTGGTATCTGCTAAGATCATTAAGTCAGCTTGCTCTAGCTTAGTAGACAAGATTAGCCCATTCTTGCAGCACACTTCACTTTGCAGAAATGAGGCAATCTTTCAACTCTCTTTCAGATTTACTGTTCACAATTAAAACTCTAATTACTGTCTCTAAAAGCAAAACAAAACAAAAGTCCTCAATATATTTTGTGCTGTTCTTATCTATTATCGCTGCAATAAATAAGGAACCATTCCCTTAGGCAGCTTTCCTTTTGTCCGAGCTCTTGAATAAAATAAAACCCATATTGCTTATCCTTCCTCAAGTGGAACAGCAGCAAATAGAAGTCTTCCAAGCATAATAAATTATCCTGCAGGCATTCAAAACAAAAGCAGCAGCTGTTGCAGCAACTTGCACATAGTGTAGGCCAAACAAATCCATTTACTGAAAACAGGCATACATTGTTCTATATTGTGGCTTGGTCAGAAGATTTTTGTGCCTTAAATCCCTGATAGAGTGGGGAGAAACTATTATTAATCATTCTAGGAGAACCTGAGAGGGCAGAACTGATGTCGCGATGACACATCATGCGATCTTGGAGGTCTGAAATCGCTGCCGATATCTTTGCTCCTGGATGGTCCTATCAGATCTAAACCGTCCTGAAGAGATGGTGAAAGTGAAGAGCGCATCCTGTCGATCCCAGGGATACCGCAAAGTCCCTTGTAGATCCAGGAGAAGCTCTTCTTGCCAGCGGCAAAGAGGCAGCCAATAAAGCTGCTGAAGTTGGGACAGCTCCAAAAGGAAAGAGAACAGAAAGAGAGAGTGTGCCGGTTTGGTGAGAACTTTTTCTTTATTCTAAGATCTGAAAGGACACCCTAAGGAAAACAAAGAATCTGTAAAAGTTTTGACAGAAGTGATTAAGTGGCGATTTTAAACAGGAATGTCAAAGTAATGTTTTTTTCTCATTGCTGGATTTTCTATACATGATCTTATATTTTGAAACTGGACTGGTTTTTTCTTTTCCATCTATTTTTTTTTCTCCCTTTTGATTTTGTAACATTTTAGGCTAGAGACTCCCTTTTAGTTATTTCTTTTTTTAAAATATCTTTTTCTTTTTTAAATTAATTCTTATATTTTGCTTGGAAAAGGAGGGGGAAAGTGAAAGCAAAGAAACTTTGTAACATTGCCAACTAGAGGCTTGGAAATATTCTATTTCTCCTGTGACCAGACAAAGCTGTGAAAGAAAGAACTGAGATTTTTTTTTTCAAGGATATTGCTATTTGATAAGATAGAGGGAAGAGCATGGGAGAGTATTATTGCAGGTGCTCTTCTGGGTTTCTATCAACAGCTGGAGTCTAGTGTTAAAACTTAGGGGGGAAAAAAGGTGATAAGTTTTTGGAGAAGAGTTATAATAAGAGCCTTGGATAATTAAACAAAGTGCAGTGTGCTCTTTTTACTTTTTCTAAGTTGTGCTTTCCCTCCTCACCAGCTTTATTTTATTTCATTTTATCTTTTTTTTTTTGCAATAGCTATTTGGATCTTTGGCTTTGTTGGAGCTTGTCTTTGTTTTTCTTTTTTTTCTTTGGAAGTCCAATCTCTACGCTTGTTTTTTATTTTAAAGGGAAAGCTTTAGTATTAATGTTTCCTTTTTTTTTTTTTAACGGAATAGCCTTTTTTTCTCCTTTCCTGGTATTTGTGTTTTTTTCATCTACCTTTCTGGTTTATTTTTATGCACTCTTTTCTATTTGAGACTTCTCAATTGGATTAAGGTGTTGAAGAACCTGAAGAATTTTTCCTTTTTTTTTTTCAAGCCTTTTTCTTCATTTAACTACTGATTGGATTAAGGTATACAAGAACCTGAAGAAATTTTGTCCTCCCCCCCCCTTTTAATCATTACTATTTGGCTTCTTTTTTCTACTATTTTTATTTCGAACTACAGTTGGTTATTTCACAATTGGATTAAGGTTTAGAAGAACCTGAAGATTTTGAATTGCTTAAAATGAGTAGGAAATTTACAGCTCCTGGTTCTTCAACTTCTACTTCTTCCTCTCCAACATCTGGAGGACAATGTTCAATACAGACAATGTTAAAGCAAGAAAAAGAACAAGAAAAAGTGACTCTGCAGATGATTATGCAAGGAATTCAAAATATTCAAGCAAGATCAGAGAATATTGAAAAGAGAATAGAGAACATTGAACAAAGAACAGGGGAAACCGATGAAAAAGTGGAGAACATCCAACAAATGATGTTGAAGTATGATGAGAGATTCCAAAAAATTGAAGAAGATAAAGAGACAAGAAGATTGGAGATATTGATAATAGATTAACAGTGGTTGAACAAGATAAAAGTGGTATGTTGAGATGGGAGATGAATAGATCAGAATTCTATCTTAGATTCCAAAATGTAGAGGAAGAAAAAGGACAAAGCTGAGATAATGATAGAAATACTGGCTGAAGCTTTGGAAATAACTCAAGAGAAGATGGATGGAATAGATGAGGTTTATCAAGTTTTCACAAGATATGCAATGAGAAATAGCTTACCAAGAGAAGTTCACATTAGATTTACAAAGAAAGCCATTAAAACGCAAATATTGCAAGTGGCAAAAGAGAAAACATTGAAATATAAAGACAAGGAGATTGTGGTCTTGAAACAAATATCCAGATGAGAAGAGAATACCGATTCCTGACTAAAATGCTGCTTAAAAAAGAGGTGAATTATAGATGGCTGATTCCAGAAGGTTTAATATTCACATGGCAAGAACAGAGACATAGAATTGACTCAATTGAGAAAGCAGAATTATTTTATACAAAATTTTTTGGAGGGAAAGAGGAAGAGGCAGAAAAAGAAATCTCACTAATTGAATTCCAAGAGGACTGCCAAATAGCGATTGAAAAAGAAGAAGGTGCAGTTGGTGGAAAGGTGGAAGCCAAAGAAAAACGTGAACTAAGATCTATGAGAGCTGCTAAACCTAACTACAAAATATAACCATGGAAGAGAAAAAACTTATTACAATTAATATAAATGGACTTAACTCATCCATTAAAAGAAGGAAAACCTTTCATAAATTAGAGAAATTAAAATTTGATATAATTTGTCTACAAGAAGTGCATATTAAAAAACAATATGAACAATTGTTGATACAGCCAAAACTAGGGAAAATGTTTACTTCTTTGGCACAATGCAACAAAAGAGGAATGGTTTTATACATTAAAGATATTATCCCAGCGAAATTGATCTATACTGATGACGATGGAAGAATACTAATGGTGGAAATAATGGACAAGAATACAAAAACACTCCTGATTGCAATCTGTGCTCCGAATGACAAACAAGAAGAATTCTACAAAAAATTACATATGAAAATAATTGAACTGGACTATGCTAATATAGTTATGATGGGAGATTTTAATGGAATTGTAGACAATAAACTGGACTATACAGCACAGAAAACAACAAAGCAAAACAGACTCTCCCTAAATCTTTTTTTTAAATGATAGATGAAATAAATTTAAAAGATACATGGAAAGAAAGAAATGCTAAGACTAATCAATACACCTTCTATTCAAACAGACATTTATCATGGTCCAGAATAGATATGATACGGATGTCAACAGAATTGTTAACTAATATTCAGGAAATAAATATTGAAACAAGTACTTGGGCAGATCACAATCCAATGCCAATTAAATGGAAAGGACAAAAAAGAAAATCTAGATGGACGTTAAATAATACTATTTTAAAGGAAAAAGACTTCACACAGTGGATGGAGAAAGAATTGCCTTTTTTCTTTAGAGAAAACAAAAAAGAAGATACATCAATCCAGAATGTATGGGATACAATGAAGGCATACGCCAGAGGCTTGATAATAGATTATACAAGGAAAAGAAATACCATGAAAAGATTAGGCTCTAAGGCATTAGAAGATGAGTATAAAGGACTCGAAAAAGAGCTACAGAAAATGCCACAGAAAAAGGACATTAAGTTAAAAATGGATATAACTAAACATAAAATAGGTCTAATAGAAAAAGAAGAATTAGCACAGAAAATTAGAGGTGCTAAACAGAACTACTTTGAAGATGCAAACAAACCAGGTAGATGGTTAGCATACAAACTGAGAAAGGAGAAAGAATCAAGGAAAATATTGCAATTAACAGATGAACAAGGCCAAGTTTGCTATGGTAGTAAAGAGAAGAAGGAAATCATTTGAGACTACTATGAGAAACTATATATGCAAGAGAATATTGATGAGGAAAGTGTTAAACAGTATTTACAGAATGCTAATTTACCTCAGATACCTAAAGAGATTGAAACCATGTTAGAAAGCAATATAACTATGATGGCATTAACTGAAGCACTCAAGAAGCAAAATAATGGAAAGGCACCAGGCCCTGATGGACTTCCGGCAGAAATTTACAAAACATTTCAAGAATCATTGAATCTTCCATTGCTAGAAATTATGAATGAAGTTATGTTAAAGAAGAAGGTACCTAAATCATGGTCAGAAGCCTATATTACACTTATTCCAAAAGAGGAGGCCGATCCATTACAAATTAAGAACTATAGACCTATTTCTCTACTAAATGCAGATTATAAAATCTTTGCTTCAATATTGGCAGAAAGACTTAAAAAATATCTACATAATTTTATTCATCCTGATCAAAATGGATTTCTGCCAAAGAGACAAATTAAAGATAATATGAGAGTAATCTTGGACACCTTGGAATACTATGAGGCACATCCTGAAAAACAAATGGCCCTGATATTTCTAGATGCACAGGAGGCATTTGATAATATGAATTGGGGAATCATGTTATTACTGTTGGAACAGATGGGCTTTGCTAGAAAATTTGTTCAAGCAATAGAAGCTATATACTATAAGCAAACGGCAAAGGTAATGATAGAGGGAGAGCTGACAGACTCTATTAATATAAGAAAAGGAACAAGCCCACTATCACCTTTGTTGTTTGTGTTAACTTTGGAAGTGTTAAACAGAAATATTAGAGATGAAAAGAATATAAAAGGAATGAAAATTAAAAAAGGAAGAATTTAAGTTGCAAGCATTTACAGATGATCTGGTTTTCATCGTAGAAGACCCTCTAGAAACAGCACCAAAATTGATAGAAAAAATAGAGACATATGGAAAGTTGGCTGGTTTGAAAATAAAGATAAGACAAAGATCTTGACAAAGAATATGCTATTAAGACAAAAGGAAGAACTGGCAGACCTATTGAAAATTCAGGTCACGAATAAGATCAAGTACGTGGGGATATATTTGACAGCAAGATGTAGTAAACTAAAAGATAATAATTATATCAAACTTAAACAGCAAATAGCGCTAGATCTGGCAAAATGGGAAAATTTATAACTGTCACTAATCGGGAGAATTTGAACAATCAAGATGAATATATTACCCAGAATTTTATATTTGTTTCAAACAATTCCAATTAGTCTTGGAAAAGATTACTTTGAAGATTTAAATAAAATTGTGTTGAAATATATATGGCAAGGTAAGAAAGCGAGAATAAAGTTAAAACTTTTGCAAGGTGCTAGAATTAGAGGAGGATTTGGTTTGCCTAATTGGGAGTTATATTATCAAGCTACAAATCTGATGTGGATTAAGGAATGGATAACACTAGGAAATGCTAGATTGTTGACATTAGAAGGACATGATTTGTTGTTGGGGTGGCATGTTTTTTATGGTATAAAGGAACTAAAACACAGGGGTACTTTAGAAGACATTATGTATGGGAGTCTCTGTGGTTAAATTGGGAGAAGATTAAAAGACAATGTTATGTGAAAATTCCAGTCTGGTTATCAACTATTGAAGCATTTTCTTATCCTATAATATATAAAAAGGAACAAACAGTTAGATATGGGGAAATATTGAATGAAAAGGGTGAACTCAAATCTATACAAAAACTAGAGGAACAAGGTATAAAGATGAATTGGTTTTCCTATGCGCAAATACATTCAAGGTATGATAAAGATTCTAAAACGGAAGGTTTCTATGATAAATTGACTGATTTAGATAAGATTTTGACAGGCACTGTTGAAAAGGTGATTAAAAAATTGTATGGATATTTATTAGAAATTAAATTAGAAGAAGAACAAGTTAAAGAAACTGATTGCTTGGGGGAAGAATTTTGGATATGGGATTGATCTAGAGAAATGGCAAAAAGTGTGGTCTCAAAATTATAAAATGACAATGTCAACAGAATATAAAGAAAATTTGTATAAGATGTTTTACAGGTGGCATTTCACCCCGACAAGAATAGCAAGAATGTTCAAGAATAAATCCGAAAAATGTTGGAAATGTCATGAGGTACTGGCTCATATTACCATATGTGGTGGACTTGTGCGGAGGCTAAAAAATACTAGACTAAAATCCACATGTGGTTGGAAAAAAATGACAAAAAAACATATAGACTTGAAACCAGAGATATTTTTATTGGGAATTTTACCTGAAATATATAGTAAAGACTTGAAATATCTGATTGTAAATGTCTTAACAGTGGCTAGGATTGTATTTGCCAAAAACTGGAAAAATGAGAAAACACCATCACAGGAGGAAATCATTAAGAAAATATTGGAATGTGTTGAAATGAGTAGATTGACATTTGAAATTAGAGAACAAGAGGATAAACAATTTTATAAAATTTGGGATTATTCTATCAATGGTTAGACAATAAAATACAGTAATGAAATATGTAGACTTTTAGAAAATAATAAATATATAAAGATGTACTTCTTTCTTATTATATCTACAAAATGATTTTAGGATAGATTTGCGATGATAATATGAACTGTTATAAAACAAACTAAATAAATTATGATTATCTTGTAAAACATGAATGAATAAAACTATAATCAAATGATTGATTAATAATGATACTAAGGTATTTAATTTTTGATTGAAAATACGAGATTATATGCAATATAATTGTAACTGAAGAAAAGCACAAAACAATTTGTAAACCAACCGGCACACTGTATGTATACATATGGAAGATGGCTTGATGTTTTTATGTTTTGTTTGTTTATGTTTGTTTTTAAAAATCAATAAAAACTTTAAAAAAAAATAATTCTAGGAGAACCAATAATAAGCTTATGGCAAGAACAACTTATGTGCATTAGCTTTTGGATACATAAATTATGGTTCCTTGCCACATCCTAATCATACGCTTGTGTCTCTATCTTGTAATGAATGCAAAAAAATGCTTTTACCATATTTTTTATCGCACCTTGCAGACAAGGCCAGCTAAACTACTGTTTCACATTAGATCAGATTTCTGTGACTACTTTTAGGGAAGTGAACGGGTTTGTGTGCCTTGGTGGGTTATGGGTCCATTCTCTTTCAATTCTGCTTACCTATCCCTTTCCCCTCGTCCTCTTACCACAACAACCTGCTTTTGAGTGGCAACAATCAAGCAACAATTTGCTTTTGAATATTCTTCATTGCAGATTTATCTTCATATTGTTGTTTAGATCCTTTGATCCAAACTGTTCACAATGGTAGTTCTACTCCTTAGACCATACTGCAGTGGTTAAAATGAATAAGTTCTGGAAAAACAGAGATACTGATATAAATATTAAAAGCAGGCTAGTTAGCACAATATTCTTCCTTATAATATTGTATGGGTTGGACATTAAGAATAGCTGATCAAAGAATTAACACCTTTGAATTGTGGTGCTGGCATAAATTATTACGTACACCATGGACCATTGTTAATAACAAGAGATGTTACATCATATATAACCAGGCACATCGCTAAAAGCATTGCTACTGTCAGTTTTGAAAACCAGAAGCTTCCATGCTGCCATATTCCTGTGCCTGGGAAATTGAGAGGGGGGGGGTTGTGGTTGTAGTTAGACATAATAGCATTCTTCTTAACAGTCAAGGTCATGTTATTCCTTCACGTGGATGAGGAGTGGTTTAAGTTGGAACCAATGGTGATTGGGCCATGTGATGGAGTGATTGGTGCAGGGGATGGATTTTGTGATTTTTAATTATTGGAGGAAAACCCGGAGGAAAATTCAGATTCGGGTTTTCCCAGATGTGCCAATATGACAACTCTAATAAAATGGAACTTTAAGAATATGCCTGTCTCAGAGTTTTGGTGTTGGAGTTTGTTTTCCTAGAACATTGACAGCTACATCTGATTTGCTTTGACCATGTTATGCATGCAAATTCATTGGAGAAGCCAATAATGTTAGGAATGGTTAGTGGAACAAGAAGAAGGGAAAGGAAAACACACACTGACTTGATAACATCAAATATGATAGAAAGATGAATCCAACAGTTGAAAGAAGCTGTGCTTGACAGAGTAGCATGGACAGCATTTGCCTATAAAGTCACGAAGAATCGGACATGATTGAATGGCTAAAATAACACCAAAATTGTTGTGTTGGGAGATGGCAGACATTTGCCAGTAGACATATTGACTTTATTGAATACCTTTCATGAGATTGGTATCCCTATTAGAACCAAATAAATTAAAAAAAATTGTAGCTGTTAGGGGAGGTTTTGTTCTTTTCAGAAAATAAAAAATGACCATAAAAGTTCAAGGATCATAATGAGATAAGTCCTGCAGTGGGTCACTTGGAGTCCTGCAGGTTATTATTTCCTTCAGCTATTTCTCAGTGTAAATGTTTGCATTAGAAAACACTACCTTTCTCCTGGATCACTTTGATCAAATTTCAATCTGCTTTGAAAGCTCCAGCAAGATAACTTTTCTTAATGACTGGAAAGTAGATCATCTGAGAGCCAGGGATGACACAAGCTGGATGATACAAGCATCACATAGATATGAGAATAACTTTAAACAACACCAAGCTGTTGAATTGATTGGGAATTTTTCAGAGAAGACTTGCCAACAAACCTAACCGTCCTTACTCAACTGTGAAGAGGAAATAAGAAGGCAAAAGGGGCTGAAACATTTTTGAAGACCAATAATAAAGTAGCAGTTCAGGCAGACACATTTCTAATTCACTGAAATATAAGTAAAGGGAGAACACAAATCAGAACTGGAAATTTCTGTTATAGCCAATCTCAGTATCAATAGTTTTAACCTTTGTTGGAAGAAATGTTCTGAGTTTGAATCTAGGGTTGCCCTCCATAGAACATGTAGTTACCTGGAACAGAACTAGGAATTACTGGAAATTGTAATTAGCTGGATGGCCAAAATGTTTAGGCACCTTGATGTTTAGGCACCATCTGATCTTGTGGGTTTGTCCACTCATTTACTGTATCACTTAGCTTCCTGTGTTATTTACATTGCAGCTGGAGGTGACTGTCAGAGAAGGGGATCTCTGACTGCCACCTCCAGCTGCAATGTAAATTATGCAGGAAGTTTATTAATAGATGTAACATCTGGTATCCTGAAATGAATGTTTTACCTGAGTGGCTGTCTACCTTTGGTCAGTTTCAACCTCTTTCTGGGCTTTGATGTTGACCTTGGGTTATGGTTCCAAGTTAGGGTTTGGGTTAAGGAAACTTTCTATTTATATACTTCTTTTTGACCAACTATCTGAAGTTCAACCAAAAAGCATAGACTATTACAACCATCTAAAAATTAAGCTTGTTGACATTGCTTATAGGTATTTGTCAGCACTATTAGTGACAAATGTGCCCTCTAAGGAAAACATTTGCAAGCTCTGCGTGAACTAAAATTTAAAGATGTAGTCATATTAAAACCTGATAAAGGCTCTGGAACTGTTGTACTAAACAAAGAAGTATATAAATAGAAGGTTTCCTTAATTTTGAATGATCCGACGAAATTCTGGAAAATTGATGAATCTGAGAGCATTAGCATGACAGAAGGAAGAATATGTTGATACTTAGAAATGATGCTATTGATGAAAATCATTTATGAGAAGACCTATAATAAGTTAAAACCTAATGGATCTATGATACCACAACTCTATGAATTACCAAAAAGGCATAAGCCGGTAATGTTGGTTAAAGCCATTTTAGCTATGTCTGGCTCTGCTTATCATCAGGTTGCGTGCTGGGCCCATGATATTCTGGTGCCTATAAAAGAGAAGCTAATCAAAACAATGTTAAAGGACTCGTTTGAGTTTGCTCATGAATTGAATGTTCTCAATGTAAAAAATGGCATCATGTGTTCAGTGGACATTGCGTCTTATTCACTAATGTTCCACTTCATGAAACAGTTGAGTATATGTGCAGTTTAGTGGAATCTAACCAGATATCAGTCCCTATGTCAATTGACATTCTAAAACAGACTGTGTTATTATGCACTGAATGTTTCTTTTTGTTTCCTTGGTCAGTCTTATCAACAGATTAACAGAGTTGCAATGGGAAGCCCTTTAGATCCAATCTTAGCTGATTTCTTCATGCATAGGATCAAATAACTGTCATCTGATCTTATGTCCAGGTTGCCATATAATAGATGTTATGTAGATGATACACTGATTTTTTGCCCATCAAGATTGACTATTGATGACTTCGTGGTTCATTTGAACAACTGTTATCCCAATCTGAAAGTCACCATTGAGTATGAAGTAGATGACCAGTTGCCCTTCCTGGATATATTGATCATACAAAGGAGTGATAGCTCCATTAAAAGAATGGTATATATGAAGCCAACATGGTCCGGCCAATATCCGAATGTCATAAGCTTTACATCAATTAAATATAAACGTGCATTGGTATGGACACTATTTATACGAGCACATCAAATTTGCACTGAGGACTGTTTAAAAGACGAACTGGAATTTTTAACCCAAACACTCTGCTCAAACAGTTATCAGTTTTATTAACAGGCACAGTAAAATAAGAGAACCAAAGCTGACAATTCCAACTGTCAGTAAAAAGAAGGTATTTATTGAACTGCCATTTAAGGGGGATCAATTAGCATGCCTCATGACTCAATGTTTAAACATCTTAATTGAAGCAATATTCAATATGGCTGAGATTCACATATTACATCAAACCCAGAGGCTACCGCTGCCTCTAATTAAGGAAGCACAACAGTGGCGGGATTCAAAAACTTTTACTACCGGTTCTGTGGGCATGGCTTGGTAGGCGTGGCCATGTGACTGGGTGGGTGTGGCTTTCTTTTTTTGCAGCCCCCACCCATCTTTGGGAGCTTCCTAGCCTCAGAGGAGCCTCTGGGTGGGGGGCAATTTTGCTCCCCTAAGGCTCCTCTGGGGCTCTGGAAGAAAAGGAACACAGCATGGGAGGGGCACGCAGCACCCCTCCAAGCTCCATTTTGTGAACTTCCTAGCCTCAGAGGAGCCTCTGAAGAGAGGTGTTTTTGCTCCCCTGGGGCTCTGGAAGGCAAAAAATGGAGGGGGGGGGCTGAGCTCCTCCCTCCATTTTTTGCCTTCCTGAGCTTCAGTAAGGGGAATCCTGGCACAGCTGATCATATCTACCGCTGATTGTCAGGAGGGGGGAAAAAAGAAAGAAATACCTTAGGCAAATGTCAGGCAGGCAGGCCGGGTGAGCGAGCATCAGGCGGGAGGGCGACTGTGTGGGTGGCATGGCCAGACAGAATTTACTACTGGTTCGGTGACCCACACCAAATTCTTGATACAGGTTTGCCCGATTTGGTGCAAACCGGCTGAATACCACCACTGAAGCACAACCGATCAGAACCAAAACTCATTGTGTTTACCAATTCATTCATAATTGCAGAGAAAATTACATGGGCAGAATTGATAGGTGTTTGGATTTCAGAATGAAGGCACATCTTCTGAAATGGGTCCAGCCTGAAATGTATAATCCAACAACAGCAGCAAATCATAGTCATAAAATGCCTTTTTCGGCCATTGTGAGACACTTACTATCTGTGGGTCATCAGGTGGATCAAAGCTCTGATTAAAGTTCTACTCTGCCACAGGAACTCTCATTTCCTGCATTTTGCTGAGATGGTTGCCATTAACCATTTGAAGCCCCCCTTGTGCATGCATAAATGGCTTTCTGTCAATCTACACCTCCCATGGGGTTAAGGCTTGCCATTGGTTGCTTTCCTGCATATGTTATAGGCTTAATTAATGTTATTGCTAGATCTTATATTTGAGGCTGATTTTAACCATGTTATTGTAATGTAAGTACCAATGAGTCAATATGAAATGCTTGCATCTACCTCTGTTCATCTTTTGGCTGTATTGTTTAAATTATTAAAAGGGATTAATTGTTTTAAATTATTACATTGTAAAATATGATTCTGGATCTTCACTGAAGGCTGATAATTTCCTTACCTATAGCTGAGGTGGAATGTGGCTACTTCTGTTCTTGTTAGGCTTGGTTGGAGGTACCATGTTTTGAAGTAGTCATCCAGTTTTTGGAGATCTTGAGAGAACATGTCCTCCGCATTACTGAAGTTGGTTCTTTGGAGTCTGAGTTTGGGATGATAAACTTCATTCTATAGCAGGACTGTCAAACTCCCAGCCCATGGGCTGAACCCATCATGTGCTGGCCATGTCCATGCCCGGTTTAGCGAAGGGGGGGAAAGTCCTGATACATCATGTGATGCCACTGTGATGACATGAGTTTGACAACCCTCTTCTATAGGTACATATTCTACTTGGAAATCATCCTGGAGTCCAGTCATATTGGGTTTTATCAATCAAAAAGCATCTTACATTGGATGCCTTTTGCGAACCTATAAAATTATATACTAGGTGTTCACATAATGGATCTTACTAACATTGTGTTTGCTACACTTTCAATAGCTTCCAATTTGTCTTTAAAGGCGACACTATATAAAATATGTCATCATGAATGCATACATTTACTGTTATGATCTAGATAAGCTGACATATCAGCCTGAGTTGGGCAAATATCATTAACCATAATTTCTATCAGCAGGAATCAGATTTGGTCCTTCAGGAAGAAGGCAACTCCACCTAACCCTACAGCTAGCAGTAATTGTTTATGAACCAATATATTTTTGCAAAAATTAAAAATCCAATATTGTAGGAATCTAATTTTAGCTTGTTTGTATACATTCAAACCTTCACAAACTCTGAACATGAATTTAGATCATGATCCAGGTTGGTCTGGAGTGGTGATATATATGGTTCAGTGTTATTAGCACATTAATGATATCACTAACAAATGATTTATCCTAGCAGTTTCATATAGATATTGATGAACAATGTAGAGTCTTGAGTCTTGGGACTTACCAGGTAGGTCCCACAATTCCACCTATCCACAGGGGAACTGCCCATTAAGTAATTGCAAAATGGTACCCATAAATGGTCGGCCATCCTATGGATGTTAGCATCAAAAGACTCCCATCTTCTAGACTTTAATGGATATCATTCATCAGGTCAAAATATATTGTTTCCTCAAAAGGGAAATTTGGACCTGGGCATTAATTTTCTGTTTATTGAAAATAGCTTTTTCAAAAGTTGGACTATTGCTGCCTATTTTAAAGTCAATAGCATCTCATTCCATGTTAAAGAAACATTTATTATTTATCAGATCAATCCTTATAGTTCTTTTCTTGCTATTCAAGGGAAATAAAAAAATGTACTAGTATTTATAACATAGAGTATTCTGCCATTTCATATTTTGCAAATGAGGATAGGTTGCCATTACAGGAACCTGGTGAGATGAAACCCACGACTGGAATGTACTGATGGATGGATATAATTTGTTCAAAAGAATCCTGCAAAAAAAAGAATTGCACTATATGTAAAGAATAACTACATATCAATAGAAATACACATGATCAAAGATAAAAACCCTTCAGAATGTATATTGGTCAATATAAAAAGGGGGGAAGTGACAGTGTCCTAGGTATATATTATAGGCCACCCAACCAATCAGAAGAAATAGACAAACTCTTGCAACCAGTTAACAAATCTATGTAGGAAGTGGGAAATCAGACAGATTTCTAATCAACCTAGTTGACAACTTTGTCATCCAAAAGATAGAGGAGGGAACTCGAAGTAAAGCTATATTCGAGCTAATTCTTACTAATAGAGAAGATGTGATAATTGATAAGAAGAATGGAAATTGCTGGAACCTTGGATGAAAGTGATTGGAATTCAATATAATGCAAACACAAGCAATAGAATATAATCCAACCAGTGTCTTAAACTTTAAAAGAACTGACTTTAACTCAGAGAGAGCCTAGGAAAGATTCCATGGATGAAAACCCTAAAAGGGAAAACAATTCAAGAAATGTGGGAAACTCTGAAAAATGTGATCATAAAAGCCCAGTCCAGCACAACATCACTGAAAAAAACAAGAAATCCAAGAAAAAAACCAGCATTGCTGCACAAAGATCTCTCTGACAGACTCAAAGACAATAAAAACAAGTACAAAAAATGGAAAGAAGAATACATAACTAAGGCTGATTATCAGCAGATAGCCAGAACATGGAAACATGAAGTCATGAAAGCAAAGGCTCAGAACAAAGATTTGCAACAAAAGTCAAAGATAATTTTTTAAAAAAAGTTTCTTTCAGTATATTAATAACAAGAAAAGGTTAAGGAAACAGTAGGTTCATTAAAGAGAAAAGATGTCAAGGAAGAAACAGGCAGTAGGGAGAAAGCAGAGCTACTTAACTCATTCTTTGCATCAGTCTTGATGCAAAAAGATATTATATGTACCAAATGTACAAAAAAAGAACCTACTGTGAAAGGCAAACTAGAAATAAAAATTAAGATAAGTAAGAAAATGTTAAGAGAACACCTATATGACCTTGACGAATATAAATCACTGGGACCTGACAGATCACATCCCAGAGTTCTGAAGGAGCTGGCATATGTTATCTCAGAACCAGATCTGCAAAACAGGTAGAAGCAAATAAAAGTTTTAACTATCATGTTTTTCTGAAAATATGATCTATCTAAAAAATAAGCCCTAGCATGATATGTGTATGATATAAGCCCTACCCTAAAATAAGCCCAATTTAAGATCTACCCACTTTCTCCCACCATCTGGTTGCTCAAGGCCGCAATGGGGC